TCAAATAAAGTTGCTTTAGAAAGCATTCAAATTCTGTATCATTACTTGGAACAGAATAATGACATAGAAGTAAATAGAAAATCAGCAGAAAACAAGTTACTATTACTTTATTAAAGCGAACTAGCATAGACATTTATTTAAATAAGCAATAGTAATAGCAAAGTTTTTACCTTTATCTTTGTTTGTTAATAAGTAAATTATCCAAATACTTCTTATGATAAAAGGAAATTGTGTTACAATGAATCCTATTGGCCACTCGATAAGTCGGACAGCCATGCCCAGCCCGTCGTGTCCTCAAACCTGGCCCTCATCGAGGAATTAACCAGAAAACTAAGGCACTACGTGCCAATGTATTCCACTTAAATAATTCTAAGTATGCTTCAGATTCGGGCACATCGGGCCCACGAATGACGATATATGATTGGACGTATCGTCAGATATATTTTTTTATCCATGTAGCCTAATGGCAGAAATCGGTTACGATTACTAAACAGGTATACATTATGTCGCATGTGGGTGACGACAAAAAGTTGCTATGGTCGTCACTCGAGTGACGTGAAAAATAGAAATTGCACGCCAAGCCACCTGCATATCTTGATGCTCTCGGATGACGATACGAATGCAATTTACACGTCACCTGATGAGCAGACTATAAACGTCTCATCTTTGACGTGAATTTCATTTTTTACGACACACTCGAGTATGGTCTAAAATGCAAAACGCACATCATACTGGCGTATATCTCAGCGGTTCTCAAGTGACGATACAAGGGCAACCTAATAGTACCGATATATAGACTATAAATGTCTCATCTTTGACGTGAATTTCATTTTTTATGACACACTCGAGTGACGTGTATTTTGTTTTTTACGACACATACCTGAGACTATAATAGTCTAATCTAAGTCGTTTTTTGTTTATATAAACAAAAAACGACTCAAAGTATGGTTACTTTTATTGCGTTAATAGAGGAAGAATGGCAAATCTTCCATTAGAGCTTATCACTAATAACATTCTTAGTATGTCAAATCGTATTAAATCCTGAGGGCACACAACGTATTAATTTTTCAGCGTATGATAATAAACTTGCAAGTATTCTAAATATAAAATTTTACTTTGTAAGAATATTTTTTATTCAAAAAAGTCTGACTGCCATTATTTTTTCCAGGACTGTAAATAAATTCGCTCAATATTAATCGTAAAATCCGTTATATTGACTTTCACTGTGTAGATATAGTGTATTAAGAAACAGTTGGCATCTAGACACGTAATTTTGTTCACACTGTTTTACATGCAAGAGTTTTACACAGAAGTTTTGGGAAAGTTCTTCCAGATATCAAGAAATGGGTAAACTTGAGGGTAGTAAAGGCATGTCAGACTTGAGCAGGGCTGTGGATTGTATGAAATGCGGATGCACCACTTTACAGACAAGGGTTTGTGTTATGAATTTTGTAACGAATAGCAAATTTGGATTATATTTTTATACTTACGTAGCCGTGCCATATATTTCACAGAACAAACTCACCCTGATTCGAAACTCTCTGATCAGTTCTTTCTGGATTTATATAGCATATCGATAGCAAAATTGTGACTCAAGATTTTAACTGGTGGGACAAAAAACTTTATATTAATATTCAGCCAATACAATAAAATCTGAGCCACAGAGAAACTTGAAACTGTAACATGCAAACTAATTACGAGGACAGTTGGTTATATCAAAACTTGGATATCGCTCCAAGTTCTACGCAACCAAATAAAACGACGAGAGATGTCATATGAGTTTGAGTCATCCGAGAACGTTGATAACAGATATCCGTCTAGTACTAGTACCGCTAATGCAATACCTGTCGTATTTGTTGAAGGCTTTCTTGGTCCAGGAGTACCTGAATATTGGGGTCCCTTGAAACACATATTTGCAGGGAATGAGGAGAATAATATTAAAGCACGGCGATGTATATTTGTTAAACCTGGTTGTGGAAGCTCACTACATGACAGAGCGGTCGAGATTTTTTACCAATTAAAGGGAGGAAGAGGTAGACACAAAATGCAACATGTGGTTGTGTTATAATGAACTGATTGTGAGACTAACACACTATCGATCGAATTGCTTATGCAAGTTGACTATGGAGAAGCGCATGCGAAAGATTTTGGTCATGTGCAATATGGGAGAAAATATGATGGTTTATATCCAGAGTGGAGTGTAGGAAAGCCGTTGCATTTTATAGGTCATTCTTTGGTAAGTGCATTATGTAATCCAAATATGAAACTCGTAACCATACACGAACTAAATCAACAATATGTAATATTATTATTTCAATTACGCGCTTTTTTCGTCACCTGTTAGGGTGGAAATACACTGTGGAAATTACAACAACTCCTCGCGGCAAAAGATTTCTTTCCGCCCCACCTTACTCCACACCCTGATATGATGTATTCATTAACTACTGTCTCAGCACCTCTGCGTGGCAGTCAAGGTGTATACATTCTTGGTAGCCGACATGATGTGCCTGGGCGCGTTCGTCCTTTTTCATTCGGATGTTGGCTTGCTCGATGCGTGCATTTATACGAATATTTTGATATCAAGTGGCTTAAGAACAAATTCTATGATTTCAATGTAGATCATTGGGGGTTTAGTTATTGGAATAATAATGGTATACGTGAAATCGGTGAACTTAAAACTGTAACAAAACAAGAAGAGGCAACCCAGAGGAAGTATGGGTTATGGAGATGTTTATTAGAGAGCCCATGGCTATATTCTAAAGACAACGCACCATACGATATGACTATTCATGCCATGGAAGAACTCAATGAGACCAGCCGGACGTTCTCTAATACTTTCTATCGATCATATGTAACATCAATGGTATTTACGCGAACAATGTTTATTCATTAATGACTAAAGATCGAATATAGTATCTGAGAATTGCTTGTATTTATTCACTTTAGACTAACTCTTTAATTTATGAATCTACTCTCGTTCAGACTCATGTGGATCCACATACTCAATATCACTACCCGCAATTCTCACTTTCCTTACGACTTCCAATTTATATTCTCTCTCGCCAAATAGGACGCTATCAGTTCCCATCTTCCTTGTCTATTCCGCCATCCGAACTACCTGAATGGTACGAAAACGATGGTGTATGTCCTGTGATTTCACAACGGCATCCTCGTTCGTGTGCGTCTGGATATTGTTTTCATTATCAAGGACTCCCTCCAATTGATGGATTGGCTAAGGCCAAACCACGAAAAGGTGTTTGGGAGGTATGGGAAATTAAGGCGACAGATCACTTCAGTCTTGTTCCTTCGTGGAAAGGAACTGAAATGCAATTGAGATTTTATGAGGGATATCGGAAGCATCTAGATATTATTGACGAATTAATGTTCAGTAAATATGAGAACGGTTTATAACATCAATGGCAGTCTTTTGTCTTATTTGGTTCAAAATATTAACAAATTGACGTTAATAATACTTCAATATTTCTAGTTGTAGCGTCATGAAATTGGTATCTTTAGGCAACATTCCAATATTTCTAGTTGTTAGCGTCATGAAATTGGTGCATCTTTTAGTTAAACAAGTTACTGTAGATTAGCTGTTGTTTCCTGTCCCAATAACATTCCCTCAACCCAGTTGCTGAAAATAAAGCTTGAATTATCGTTACAGCGATATACGGTCAACAGTAGTTGACTGTATAGCCCTCCGGTTATATCCTCACCAAATCACTGTAGCCAGATCCAAGCAATAGCCGCTTTCAAACTCGGTAAGATAAATGGGTAATTAAAGATGACAACTTTGTCTATCCATTGCAGTCATCGTTCACACAATTAAATATTATTACAAATCCACGCAACGAGTCAAAAATTGCCGTTTGCGATGGATGTAAGTAAATCCAATCGTAATAATCGATTAGGCAAAAGGATTGTATTGTACTACCAACACAAGCGCTTCGTGTAAGTCGACGGGCTGGTAGTAATGGTTTTAAGCTACAGAGATTTTATTTTATCGAGGATGATATGCTAATACTGTAATGCTAAGAATTGTAAGAGGTTAATATATACAGTCAGGACTCGATATAGTAAAGTCTCGATATAGTAAATTCCGCGTTATGACAATTACAATGAAACAGAAAAAAAGCCAAAAATATTACCGGCTAATCTTAACCCGCTGTGGCCGTGGCGGTGGCGTCGCCCCCTATGACCGCAGCGAAAGCTGGCAGACTTGAGCCAGAAGCCCAAAGTAAACAAAAGGTCCCGTTGTTGACCCGCAAAAAAAGTCAAAGCCGTAGAGATACGGAGCCAAGTATATCAATATTACGCAAAAAAGTGCTTGGTTCGTCTTACATCGGTTGCGTCTGCTTTTGCTCTTTGGTGTAAGGCATTATTTACTTTCTCCTTTCTCTTTGACTTCGGGCAAATTAAAAAAATAATGTGGTTGTAAGCCTTGCTCCTTTTCACGGGCTTTTTTATTTATAATTTAGTGCGAATGATTATTGCTTTGACCGAAGCTCAAACAATATTAGTAAATTGTCTCTTGATATAATGAAGATTGAGAGAATTTTGAGAAATCGTTTTAATCGTAAAAAATTGTGAGTCAAATGAATTGGATGATGGAGATTTGGAGACAGACCGTTTAAGCAAATTGAAAAAAGACATTGTTTTCAAGTAATTTGCTTCGAGAAAACAAAGCGTGTGTTTGTTCATAAACATTAAATATCGCACAATAATAGGTGCTATAGTCAATTTTACGTTTTTTGAAATGGCTTTAATGAATTACCAAATCACATAATTGAACGGTATGACATTTGCTCCATTAATCGTTTGAGTCATTTATTATTGTACTACCACAAGACTGGTCAGTCGCGATATAGTAAAGATTTATGCCACGTATATATAAACTTTACTATAACGAGAATATTCGATATAGTAAAGAT